CACGGTACTAAATATAATTTAACTCCAAAAGTTCTATAAAATTCAAATTTCTGAAATACAATTCCTATTTACAGATTTTCCTTACTAAACTAGCAAGATTTTCCTATTTTGATATAAATTTGTTTTTCTTATTATATATCTACGTGTAAAACACCCTCCCACCAAAAAACCAAAACCCTTTATGATAATTTCCAGTTCAGGTTTCTTGTATCAAACAGCTGGCAAAAAAGAGTAGGAATACTAGTTTCTATAGGCAGTATAAATATATGGCAGTGAAAACGTTATTCTAACTGTATTAAACCTATAATCAGATGTCTGCTTCAAATTCAAGTATTTAACCTGGAGAATCATTGTCAGCAGAGCTAGACCTTACATGCTCAAAATGTCCTTAATGCACAGGCATGGCATATTTCACATTTACGTGCAGACTGTGTAAGATAAGATTTAAAATCAAAAGTTTTGCAGGGCTACAGGGTCATTAGGTTAATTCAGAGTAAGAAAACATTATTCACCTCTCAGGTTCCTAGGTTTTCTTTGCTACACTGTGCATGTAGGCTATTCTGTTATTATTATTATTATTATTATTATTTGGGGGGGGGGGGGAGTGGACACTATGCTTTCATAATCCTGCCAGTGGTTTTTTTTCAATCTTATTCATACTAATCACTTTAACTTTACAATGCTCAAAGGGTTAATGCAAGGCATTACCATAAAATAATTTTCTAACATTAGAACTAATCATTTATGATTCTGTTCCAGTTTTCTTTAGTCACTAAACAAGCAATCTAGCAACAGCACAAGAATTCCCTTTCCTTTTAACCATGTACAAAGAAGTTGACCTGTAATGCAGGAAAAAGGGCCCAATTTTCATGAACTGGGACAGCTCATAAATCAGTCTTACATTTTCTGAAATTAGTGTTATGTATATTAAAAAGGGGAGTTTCCCCTGAAAATCATCCTTTCACAATGTCATTCCATGAATGAAATTGGGTTGAGTCAATCTCTGACTAAATTGTTTCCTTGCCGATTTTCTTGCAAAAATTATGAAGTGATTATGAAGGTTTACCAAGAATAATTTGAGGAGATTGTTTCCAATTATTACAAATACCTCGTTTTAAATTAAATAAATTGTCTGTTGTTCTGTACATTCCTGAAAGACGGTACCATTAGTACTGTTTCAAATATCACCCATGGCAAACCAAAATGCAGTAACATTGCACATCAGTAATGTTTCAAAAAGATGATAGATGTCTAACTTAGTGTTGTAATTCCAAGTTGTAATACAAAAATAATCACAAAGCAAAGCATTTTGACTAAAGAATACAAATATTTGTTACTTTAAAGTGACAGCACCAACTATTTTGCATTCTTGAAGAGCTTATGAAAATCGGGCCCTGCATCTGATAAGAAGTTTCAGTAGTATCATCTATTGATCACTGGATTACTTATTTAAAAGCCAAAAAGTCTTCATTTTAAAAAGTAGTATTCTTTAAAATAACCTCTAAAGACAAATGACTCACAAATCTAAGGTCAGTCTCCTGCAGTGTCACCAAAAGTGCTTCAAATAAGTAAGTAATCTCAGTGCTGCATATCCATGTAATGTATATTTCATACATTTTATGCTGTAAAGTTGAATAGTTTGCTTAAGTTCATAACAAGCATTCAAAGTGTTATGTAGAGATGATGTGGCTAGAGATTCTGAACCCCAAAGTCTGGAACTTCTAGTGCACTGCCAAAATCAGATAAGAACTACAACTGGAAGAGACATTTGGGAGGCCATGGTTTATGCACTGATCGCTAGATACATGCATAGGAGTCTATGAATCCAAGTCCTCGCACATCAACTTTTTGAAAATGTTGGTAAGGAATGGTACAAGTATATAGGCACAAGAAGTGTAATCTCAGAATGTTAACTAAGTAATGTGGCCTACTCATTATGCTAAAGAACCTCTGGAGAAAATGCAGGCAGTGAGCCCATACAAACGATTCACAATATAATCTGTTTCATGTTGTTTACAATAAATAAAACTGAAGACAGAAATTATTAGCGGTCATCAAACCAAGTCATAAGAGTGTACCATGTAGTATCTAGATGAACACAAATTACTTTTAGTTTTTATTAATAATTATTGGAGCATTTTTCATTGCATTTCTAACAATATCTAGCTGCAAAGATCCATCATATAGGCATGGTTGCATTGTAGACCAGAATATAACTTTTTTTTATCTGAGCAAGAGATAAGGTACAATGATGATCTTTTTGGCACATTAAATACAGTGATCAACTGGAGAAGGGGAAGGTGAATCCAAAATTTACAAGGCCTGTCTCTCTCTCTCTCTCAAAAAAAAATGCATCGTTCTCATTTCTCTGCATGAACAAAATCCAACATTCAAAAAGAAAAGAACAATGATGAGAAAAGGTACAAGTTTGCAATATGAAAAGAATCATTCCAGTAAATAAACTACATCTAACCCACAACATCCTTATTAGACTCTTAAAAAACTATGTTGAAAAGTGTTTCTTTGTTATATAAGTGTAAACATTTCATAAAACACAATGAGAAGTAACTATCACAGCTTGCTTTTTAAAAAATAATTGATGAGGAGTGCAGACGTGAAGGATTTTGGGCGGGGGGGGGGGGGGGGAGAGGATAACAACACATTTAAATAACAGAGTGAACTAAATCTTAATGGAACATCTGAGGATACATTTAGTGAAATGGCAGAAATTACTAGACSTAAACCTAGCTTAGCCCACACTGGTGGAAGGCATCAGATTCTGCAACTCTCATGCAAATCTTAAAGCTTAGTCTAGAAACAGAAATGCTTAAATTGTGAAAAAATAAATATTTAGAAATTCTGGAAACATGAAAAACCTAGGATCAAACCTGTGTGCCATATATATATACCAATAATTCCGCCTGCTGGTCAATCATTTGGTAACTGTAACCTTACAGATCATCTTTCAGACAAATGACAGACAAGGCTTCTATTATTTTACAGAGGCCTTGCTATAAACTCTGTAATTTTTCTTTGTGCTTTCCTTCATTTTTGGTTTGTTTTGATCAGGCTAAGGAAATTCAGGAATTCTTTAAACCAAATGTTTAACCCATTATACCTGTAACAAGTCAGTTAGAATAGAAAGAAAACAACATATAGTATGATTTAACAGTAAAATAAAATAGCAGATCGACACCCACCCCCCCATCGTATCCACAATTGAAACTATATGTTGCTTTACAATTCTGCTTACTTTTTAAAAAATTAAAAGTAGATAAGGGTTTAGAAATATATATATATATAAATTCTTGTTTGAGACTTGGCTAACCTATTCTGTTGACTTCTGACATTGTTAAAGCTAGTTTTATTTTCACCCACTCCCCGCACCCAACCAAGAAAATCCGATTAGTAATAAAGTGAAATCCAGCTATAAATAAGAAAGAAATAGGCCGTCACTCTAAGAGGGATAGTATATATAATTAAAAAAATCTTGATTTCTGAAAACTATGTAACCTGCCCTTCCTGTTTGGGGAATTTGAGGGTGAGGGGAGAAAGAAAGAAGACAGGCACACTTTGTTGAATCAATGTAAGAGTTATTAACAAGAAAAATCTTAGCTTCAGTTCTGTTTAAGGCACCATGTAATAGCCGAGGTACAATGATCCCTGATGTACATTCTTAAATGGCAATGGTCCGTCTAGCCACCTACTCAAATTCTACGCAATTGGGAAATAAGTACAAGTGACATGTGCCAGTTTCACTGCCTTTTAAACATTTCTGTATAAAATGAAATCCACTTAAGAACCAGGAATTATTTTGAGCAAAATTACAATGCAGGTTGCTACATTCCTTGCATCCTATAAACTATCTTTAACAAGAGCAGCAGATTGAACTATCATGAGGAAAAGGACATGGAATTTTTTTTAAGTCATCTGAAAGGAATGGTTTCCTGCATATCCAGTTCAGGAGAAATAGCAGGTACACTTAAAAAAAAAAGAATAAATCAAGACACTTTTTAAAACTTCAGTATTTAACATCTGTAGTTTCACTGAAGAGCAGAAAGCATCTTGGTAGTGGTCCCATATGTGTGAGAGATGCATAATCCACCAAGCACTATTGTAACAAAACCTCCATGCATTTAAAGGTGGTTTGGCTCTTGGTTCGAATCTTGTGATTTATGTGAATCTTGTGCATGAGTGATGAAAAAGAAAGGTTTCACATAATAATTCATTTGGGTAGACTATGCTTGAAATCAGTAGTTTTAAAAGAGATGACTTAGTATGCAAAAAACTAAAACTTTTTTAAAAGGAAGCTTGCATTGTCTATAATGGTGTCATCTGTACATTTATTAAGTACACATTACCACATACTATCAGAGCTTTTGTTTTTCCTGCAACCATGAGTCACTCTTCCTCTGAGAAAGACATCAGACTATGTTCTCTAGCATTATAATAAATTTTCAGTATATCCCCTGAACACTCTGAAATGTATCAAAATAGTATCTTCCAGTTCTCTCCAAAGAAAGCTGCTTTTTAGGAACCGTTTAATGCAGCCGCTGTCAAGTGAGCATGCCTCCAGTGTAAATCAAAGAAGAAAATTCTTGATATTTCAGAGTGCAATTATACGAAATCACCATGACTAACAATTAACATTAAAATATTTTGTAAAAACTGTGAAAAAATTAAATTACTTCTAATTATAAAGAGGACAAAAACATTAACAGTTAAGCTTCGCAAAAATGCTTCTTAACTCTTGAAACTAAGAAAACTCTATATTAAGCGGCCAGTGTAAAATGATTGTATTTACCGTTCCCCACCCCCTCCCAAAAGAGACCTGGCAAAATACATACACCCATTCCATTTCACAACTCCAGTAAAAGTAATGTTCAAGCACAGATAAAATTTGACAACAGTCAGCTTTCAGACTTCTTCTTTTCTTTTTTTTTTCTTTTTTTGCATCCCTTCCCTCCCCCATGATAAGCCCAACATCAACAGGGCTAATATAATCTGGGGGAAAAAAGAGCTTTAATTTTTGTTAGACTGCAGTATATGTATTTCCAGTAGTACTGCACTGTCTGATAGTTTGAGTAGCTGTAACAATGTGCTCATTGTGAAGAGGGCTCAGGAGGTTCTGCTGTACTCCACTTTCCATGACGACTGGCTGGAGGCAGCCCACCTGAAAGGCCTGGCTAATTTCAGTCTTTTCTCTTTTTGCTTGTGGCTCCCCAGCTTCATCCAATTCTTCATCTATTTCACTGTCAACTTCACTGCCTTCATCTGCAGAGAAAAAACCACAAGTGAATCTTATAATCTGAAACAGCCATGTGACATGCAGGTATTTAACAAATCCATAATAATAGCAAAAACAATAACAATAATATTGTATTTACTCGATTTTAGTGCTCACTCTTTTTGACTAAATTAGATTTGTGTAAATTCTTTTTGGATTTCAGGGTTTTGAAAATTGAGGTGCGCATTACATTTGATGGTGCATTACACTGGAGTAAATACGGTAATTTATCTTTAATAATAATAATAATAATAATAATAATAATAATAATCTTTATTTATATCCTGCCTCCATCTCCCAAAAACGGACTCGGGGTGGCTTACAAGGCACCATAAGTGCAGCATATAACATCAACAATACACGGGTATAAAACAATGTCTCATGAAAGTTATAAAACAACCACTATCAACCCACAAAATAAAATAAAATACACAATTTAAAAACGCATATCATCTATAGTTAAAAACTAGCTGTCATCAAGACATAATTAAAGTGCCAGGGTGACAACCTCATATGGGCCCATTTCAGGCTACTTGAGCCAATATCCTGCTTAAAAAATCATGGTTTCAGGCTGGATCGGAAGGATTAAAGGGTGGGGCTAACCTAATCTCTTTTGGTAGGGTATTCCAGAGCCAGGGAGCTACTACAGAGAAGGCCCTCTGTCTCGTCCCTACCAACCACACTTGAGACGGTGGTGGCTGAGACGGTGGGAGCATTGAGAGAAGGGCCTCCTCTGCTGATCTCAAAGCCTGCTTTGGTTCATAGAAAAAAAATCCAGTCTCGAAGATAAGTTGGACTCAAAGTATATAGGGCTTTGTAGGTAATAACCTGCACCTTGAATTGAACCTGGAAAATTATTGGAAGGCAACAGAGCTACTTGAGTAGGGACATAGTATGTTCCCTATGGCTAGCTCCAGTTAGTAATCTGGCAGCCGACCTTTGCAGTTTCCAAACCATCTTAAAAGGCAGCCCCATGTAGATTGCATTGCAGTAGTCCATTCTAGATGTAACTAAGGCATGGACCAGTGGCCAAGTCAGGTTTTTTGAGGTACAGTTGCAGCTGGCACACAAATTTTAGCTGTGTGAAAGCCTTCCCGGCCACCACCAACACCTGAGCTTCAAGCATCGTTGCTGAGTCCATCCCCCAGAGGACCTAAGTGTCCTATGGGGAAGATTATATGGGAGAAGGTGATTCTCTAGGCAACTTGGTCCCAAACCATGTAGGGCTTTAAAGGTTAAAACCAACACTTCATACTTTACCAAGAAACTAACTGGCAACCATGGAGTGACTTTAGCATAGGTATAATATGCTCACTCCTAGATGTTCCCATAACTAGTCTGGCTGCCATGTTTTGAACTAACTGGAGTCAGTTAAACCTGGCTTACATAGTCAAAACATTTAAATGGCCTTTGTAGTGTAATTTTCGAATTATTTTATTAAAGGTTGCACAACTAAAATACACAAGCGATTTGATCCAAAATGCTTTTTTGAGGAGAAGCCAGAGACTGAAACATATCTCCTACATTTTCCCTTTTTGATTTAAACTCTCTGGATTCCCCAGTCAAAACAGCCAGGAGCCATGCTAGCTAGGGGAATTCTAGCAGTCCATAAAACAACTTCTTAAAGCTTTGGAGAAGCAAACTTTGCCTTTCCCTGGAATATCCTGATCGTTCCCTTAGGGACCCTTGAACCTCAAATGGAATTATTAAGGAGAACAGAAAGTGGTAATTGGAAAGAAAAGACAAGAAAGAACAACTGTATGAAGAGAGACTTTAGTTGATGGTTTCAACTAAAGATGTATAATGTGGATGATACTAACCTTTGTCCATATTTCCAGGAGATATTGCATTTAAGTCACCAAACTGCAGCAGAAAAATATAATTTATAAATATATATAGTTACTGAAGTGTCATCCTAATGATGTCTACAGTCAAATCCTCTATTAAATCTAATCATACAGTTTTACAGAACTAACATGAACAGCTGTCACGATACCATGCAGTGTGCCCACACTATGCATAGATCACCGGGTTTCCACCCCTCCTAAGTACATACCATCAAGTATTTTGTAATACTTGCCAAATTAATGTGAAGATAATGTGATACCTACTTCATAAATATTTTCATAAGGCATTCTGCCTTATTTTCATAAGGCATTCTGCTAATTTTACTCCATGGCAGATGAAAATCAGTAGACCTCTGTATTACAGAAGCAGGTACTGAACAAAACAGAAATGCAATAAAACCCAGACCCAGTATATTCTTTGCTGTATTTTGAATATACACAGTAGTCAGATATTAGATAGACAATTTATATGGCCTATAAGTACTTTTGATTTCAAAAAGGTGGTATTTGCTTTATTCATGATCTTCATGTAGAATTAAATAAAATATTGATGGGCAATTAGATATTAGTAAAAGAGAAGTCAGTATGGAACAGTGGTTTGTGAGATGGAATACTACTCTGCAAAACATTCATTCAGGGTAAGCGCAAACCCAAAAACAAATTCTCCTCTCAAAAAAGAATATCCAGGATACCAGAGAATAGAGGAAGATTGTGGTTTCAAAAAAAGAAACAAATATTTGGTAACCAAAATGGGGACAAATTGTAAGAATAAAATGCTGAGGAATTAGGCTATTAGGAGCACATATACTAGACAAAATAAAACAATTATAATTATTATTACAATTATAATAATTGTAATAATCTCAGCAATTTCAGGAACTTAACTGTTAAACAACATAACTGAAATGAGGTTTTATGTCTATCAGAATTGAAAAGATTCATTGCAGCCATTAAACATTTTTCCCACATAACTACATACCATAAAATATAGTTTAGATAACATTATTTCTAATGCAGCATTAAAACAACTAATAAAGCACTACAACTGTGAACTTACCTCTCCCATAACTGCAATAGGTGTCTCTCCTGTGGCTTGAGCAACACGATGTTCAACTAAGTAAAACATGTATTCATCATACAATAGACGGATCAGATGAAAAGAACCAAAGCTAGCAGCACTGCGCAAGGTTAAATCTCGAATAACCATTGAACTGTATAAAAATGAAAGCACAAATGGAAAATCATATAATGATTCAAACTTCCTGGTTTAAACTCATGGGAGTTCCATGCTACTGCCAAAACAGAAGCTCTGTTTAACTCAGACTATTATAAATAATACTTTGATATTGGCCATCACTAGCCATAGTTCAACAAAAATGTGATCAGTTAAAAACAGGATGCAAATTCTGAAGGAGCAAGGAATGCATGTGCTTAAGGCTGTGTAGTGTGAACTCACTGGCCCAAAGCCCCTTTTGTGTCTCTCATTTCTTGTTTTTAAAATAATGTCATGGTTTGCTGCCAAAATTTTGTAGCAAGCAATTACATGTACTATAGCCCATGGGAAAAGGAAGTAAATACTTAATCGGATTTTTTTTTAGTGTGTCAGGCGCAACTCAAGAAACTGCAAGTCGTTTCTGGTGTGAGAGAACTGGCCATCTGTAAGGATGTTGCCCAGGGGACTCCTGGATGTTTTGATGTTTTACCATCCTTGTGGGAGGCTTCTCTCATGTCCCCGAATGGGGAGCTGGAGCTGACAGAGAGAGCTCATCTGCGCTCTCCCCGGATTCAAACCTCTGCCCTGTCAGTCTTCAGTTCTGCCGGTACAAGGGTTTAACCCATTGCACCACCGCAATTAGCGTCAATTTTGTTTCTTTCAGTTCAGTAGCATTAGTCAATAAGTCAATTTAATACATTCAAGTTTCATTTATATATAACTGGATAATTAATCAAGTATGAGTGGAGGAATTCATTTGTTAAATCCATAATGAAAATGAGCACTAGTTTAATAGGAAGAACCCACAAATAAGATAGGACAACATGTTGTTCACAAGCCCATCAAATCTTTAGTTTGGGGAGAAAAAGAGCACAGCTGACATTCCCAAGGCCTGAAAAAAGATCTAATTCACATGGATAAACTCTACAAAATTATTCATAATGCCAATGTCTACACCAACAGCTGGCTCTAGTATTAATAAATACTAACTCCAGCTTTTCTGAGCAATGACTAATTGCATTTATTGGTACCTGGAGACATTAGATTCCACAGGAACAGCATTTGAAGGTTAACATGACTCCAATAAAATCACAATAAAACAAATAAAAATCCCAATAACCTTGATACATGTTATTGCATCTGCTTTTCACTCTCCCTGCCCAATTTCTGAAAGAAGAAGTAATTTGGGGTGTGTGGAAGAAGGCTGGCATGTAATGTAAATTGCCAGGCATATCAATGACATATAATAAAAATCAAGCAAAAAAGAAAGAAAAATGTTTGTGTGCCAGAGCACACATTTTAAATATTTTAAGTCACTGACCTGTAAAAAGACCACTTTAACAGAAATTGTCGAGCTGCTTTAGGAAAACTAGGCCTTCCTTCATAGGGTTTCAGTGCTTGCATCATTACGTTATCTAGCCAGGCAGCCCACTGCTCCAGAGTGCTCTGCTGCTGAAGAGTCATCTTGAAATCTGTTTCCAGCCTCTGTACCATATTGTCATCACACTGGCACACCCAGGAAGCCTGCTCCTGTCCCAGGACAAAAAAAAAATCAAGGTTAGCACCATGTGCTTTATGTACAAAAGCTTGGGGAAGAAAAAAAATGAACAAAGAGGAAAAATAGAGAGACATGCATGACGCCAACTTATACACAAACATAGAGAGTATGTCTTTCCACTTTTCCTCTTTGTTCAGTTCTGTCTTTCCCTTCTTTGTGGAATGACCCTTGACTTATCCAGGGTTTATATCAAAAGCAATCATTTTGGATCAAAACCAGCCCTTGACTTATACATGACGGCGACTTATACATGAGCATATAAAGTATAAGTCAATGGCAGGTTTTGGGGCCAAAATTACCCCTGGATAAGTTGAGGGTCATTCCACAAAGAAAGGAAATATCAATTCTGCCTCAGGGAGCCAGCTGCCTCTGGCTACTGCCTCCATTTCCCAACTCAGGCATTCAAAAGGGCCACAACAGAGTATTTCTTTTAGTTTCTCACAGGATGGGCTATTTGCCACTCCACCCAGAGAAGGGGATAGTTCCTTTTGAAATAAGAGTTAAAGTATAGTACTGTACTGGCATTGGGCCATGGATAAGTCAATCCAATTTGGGAAAGGGGCACTAAAATGTCTAGACTTATCCATGAGTATATAGGGTAAATAGCCAAGATGGACATCAAGGGAATAGACAGTAGTTAAAAAGTAATGTTTTGAAAGTAAGGTTGCTTACCTGTAACCATGTTTCTTCGAGTAGTCAACTGTGAAATTCACACCTGTGGTATTTCCTGCATCCACGCAGCTGATTCAGATCCTTATTGAAAAACATTTGCCAAATCAGGGACTCCAGCCCCGCCCATCCACTCCAGTAATAAAGCCAGTCTGCGGGGTTTGAGGCCTTAGTTCCGTACTGCGAAAGACAGTCGGAGATAGAAGGCATGACGGAGTGCGGGGAGGATGGGCGGGTTGTGTGAATTTCACAGTTGACCACTCGAAGAAACATGGTTACAGGTAAGCAACCTTACTTTCTTCAGCATAGTCACTGTGAAATCCACACCTGTGGTAGAATAGCAAGCAGTCCCATAGATGGTGGCTGTCATGCTACTGCAGAAAAAAGAATTGCTCTCCCAGAAGCTGCATGTTTTTTGGTGGCCAAGTCCAGTTTGTAATGGGAGACAAATGTGTGCGGTGTTGACCAAATGGCTGGCTGACAAATGTCATCCAGTGGCACACCGTGTAAAAATGCTGTAGAGGCTGCCACTGCTCGAATGGAATGAGCATGGATCTGAACAGGTAAGTCCAGTCCTGCCATCTGATATGCTAGCCAGATAGCTGTGACTATCCAGGCTGCCAATCTCTGGGCAGAAACCGGAAGGCCTACAGAGTCCTTACGGTACTTGACAAAAAGTCTTAGTGACTTCTGTAATGGAGCTGTGCGGTGGACATAGAAAGCAAGGGCTCTCTGCACATCAAGAAGGTATAAAGACTGCTCCATGGTAGTAGAGGGGTTTGGAAATAAGGTTGGAAAACAATGTCCTGAGACATTTGAAACTGTGATGCTGCCTTAGGTAAGAAGGTGATGTCTTTGTGGAGCACGACCTTATCCTTATGAAATTTCAGGTAAGGACTATCGATTCGAAGAGCCGTAAGCTCGCTAGCACGATGAGCAGAAGTAATAGCCACTAAAAATGCTGTTTTCCATGAAAGATGGGACATGTCAGAAGTGGCCATTGGCTCGAATGGTGGTTTTGTAAGGGCGGAAAGAACAACCTCCAACCTCCAAGAGGGGGGCACAGGCCGTATTTGCGGCCTGAAGTTTCTCATTTTAATTATTGTATTGTTTTAAAGTACAAGTCAGAATCTACATCAGACTCATTGTCTGGTTGCTGCTGAGAGGAAGCACCAGAATGAGCTTGTGAAAAATGCTTATTAAACCCCTGAAAACCAAAAGAAGGGACTCCAAACCCTTGAGAAGGAAAGGAGGGCGCAGATGGTGCCTATTCAAAATAGTACCAACCTACCTGTTGAGGCATGGGCCAAGTGGTAGATGGGGCCCAAAAGACACAGTACTTACATTCTGAGCCGTCACCGAGGCTCCCAGGTGGCAAGATGCAGAGGGAGGATGGTAGCCCGAAGGCCCCTCCAAGGATTTATACTCGATAGGCTAAGCCCCAAAGCCTTGACTAGCCATCACTCGCACAGGCGACGTGGCTGCCTTGAGCCTCCCTCTCCTGAGGGGGGCAAAAGCATGGCAGGGATCGCTGCAGCGTCCACTGCCTGCTGGGGTAAATGGGGCAGGGAAAGCATGGGCAGTGTGAGCAAGCTGTCCTCCAAAGATAGAAACAGCTGAGAGACTAGGCTGCAACCCAAAACAAAGCTCCTGGCACCAAGTTGGAATTGCAGTCTGAGAGTAGTCAAACTGGAGTCCTTGAGTCAAACCAATAGTTGTTTTAGGAGAGTAGAGAACACCGAGTTGTTGCTGCTTTCATGGACAAAAGGAACTAAGGCCTCAAGTCCTGCTGCCTGGCTTTATTACTGGAGTGATGGGCGGGGCTGGAGTCCCTGATTTGGCAAAAGCTTTTCAATAAGGATCCAAATCAGCTGCATGGACGCAGGAAATACCACAGGTGTGGATTTCACAGTGACCACGCAGAAGAAGATATGTTTAAAAAAAAAGATGGATTGTATATGTCACATTCAGCACGATAAGGAATGAAGCTGTTGGACATGTAAAGGTTTTGTCATTACTTCTCCATCTTATATGCATGTATGTTTTATAGTGGGAATATCCTAGTGTTTTGTTTGTATGCCAGATTTCAGAAAGTCCTGTAATGGCAGAAATGTTTCATTCTTTTCTAGCACGGAAACTGAGTTATAAGCTGCCATCTCCAAATAATGTGTATTACACATGCAGCCAGAAAATTCATTTCTTTCTATATGGGAATGTCACTGGCTCAAGATTCAAGAATGAGGGGCAAAATAATAATAATAATAATAATAATAATAATAATAATAATAATAATACTTTGGGTTGTTGTAGGTTTTATTTATATCCTGCCCCCTCTCCAAATAGGACTCAGGGGAGCTTACAAAGAGTAAAATACAGAGCAAAACACAGAAATAAAACATAATACATAAACAACAATATCAAAACCTACATAAAATAAAATACAATTAAAGACCAAGGCAAAAATAAAAACATAATATATAATGACAATATCAAAAACCTAACAGACTAATATAACAATAGCATAATAGAAAATTAGCACAAATTAAAACTTTTTGTTGGATTTAAACATGTTATCTACCAGAGGCAAAACCAGTTCAGGCCAGTTGGCATTAGTACAGCTATAAACCACCATCTTACTGGCATTCTGAAAGGTGTTAGCATACCTGGACATTGGCAAAATCAACACGGTTGAGGTCACTAAGCATCTGGTTGATCTGAGAAGTGTTCTGCAGCACAGCACGAGCTGCCTGAGCCAGATGATTGAGAGATGTGTATCTTCGCAGAGTCTGAGCAAAGGCACTTACAGCGGCAACCTAGGAAGAGAAAAGGAAAATCTCTTACACTCTCATGATGCTAAGGCTGGCTAGCCAATTTAATAACATAACTGTGTAGTTATTCTTGCCTTCCTTCCCCTTGTCTTTCCCTCATACACAGCTTCAGTTCATAATATTTTCTAACAATGTTTTGATAGTTTACAGCTAAGAAATACATCACAAGAATGCAGCATCAATGGAATGTCTTTTAAAGCCCTTCAACAGATATTTTAGATATCTGTAGATGACATGTATGTTTCCAGTAACCTGCACGACATAACAAGTTCAACATTTCATTTGTAGAAAAACATATTAAATGAAGGAAATGTTCTATATTTTTCTTTAAATCAATGCTTTCCACATTGGCTCTTCATAATTGTGAAACAGGGGGCGACAATGATGCTTCTGAGGATTCAAAATAGCATTTCTTTATTCCAAGAAATCAGGAGCAACCCTTTAGTTTACCTTGGTTTGAATCATTCTCTGTGGAATATTGTTCATGGCATTGGAAAGCCAACCTTCAAGGCTTTTTGCAAAATTGCGAATGGCTTGGGTCAAGGCACCTATGTATGAAAGAATACAAAACAAATGGAAAAAAGTCAAGGCTTGCGTGTTTTGAAAGACTGTTGTCCTTGAATATTGCAACTACCCAGTAAAGTGAAGAAATAAATGCTAACGCACAGTACTAATCTGTCTAGGAACCATCAACAGAAATGCCACATAGAACTAAAGTAGTACTATACAACAAATCCACAAACAGCAAAAATCTGAAGGCCACAGTAATATTTCTCACTGATGCAATAAATGTTTACTTCAGCTGTGTCACTTCAAACTGTTAAGTAGGAGCTACTCTGTATGAAGAAGCATTCAATCACATGACTCCCTGTGGTAAAAATCAGGTTTAGAGAAGGGTCAACAGTATTTTGAAATGTAACTCTACAAGTAAGAGAGTGCAAACATGACAATGTAATTTTAGGTTGTAGATATATCAACTGTTCAGAGTGGACAATGGTTCAATAGGTCAATTTTTTTGCTCCTGGAACCCTACAGTCAGAAAGAAAGAAAAATCAGGCTGAAAGTCAAATTTGATGTTGAACACTGGAGTGTTTGCGTGTATAAGACAAATTTCCAATTTTGGATACTTCAAGGAGAAATAAATCCCACTTTTTATGTCCAGAAAAAGAGCAATATGATGAATATGGATGGTCAAGGGCCACAAAAACAGCCTTGGGTGGAAGCATTCATTTCTCAGCCCTGTAGTAAAAGGAGATATTTGATCCTACTGTGGACTTACAGTGTGAAATGTCATTAGTATTCTTTAAATTTGTATTGGATATAATTTAATTCTATGTGGTATTTCTATTAATTGATTCAGTATTGAAGAATCTTATATATCATAATTTGAACTATGATACTCAGATGTAACCTACTGCAGCTCCCTTTCTCTTTAGATGTTAGATTTTGGTCCCACTTCAATATTAGTCATTTTAACAGGAATCATTATATATTATTTTGAGGCTCACACCTGTAAACAATTTTATATACATTGTAACATGCATTACACTATTCATTTAAATGAAGTACCATGCAGAACTAATTTCAACCATTCAGTATCTCCTTCATTATATATGGAACAGATACAGACTCATCATTCCCTGGGCCACAATTCAAGGAGAGGCTTTAGGTACACAGAAGAATATTCAAAAGCAATAAAATATTTCAACATTTCCTTTAAAGAGCCAGATCCTTGCAATTCATCCTCTCAGCCAAAACAGTCACATGTAACACACACAACCAGAAACTGTTTAATACAGTGGCATCACTAGGAGGGGGGTACAGATGTTGTAGATCCCAGGAAGTGACCGCATCAAAGGGGGTGACACCAACTGTACAGGTTCAGAGAGAAGTGGCAAAGTGGGAAGGAAAGCAATTCAGTAATTCTGAATTACCATCTTTGCTTCCTTGGCTCTCTGAAGACTGGCAAGAGCAGGCCCTAGCTTTCCTCTCTTGACTGGATTTCCTTTCAGTGATTCAACTTGCTTTTCCTCCCATGCCTTTCATGTGCTAACCCCCCCCCCCCCCATTCCTCTTCCTCTTTACCACACCTTTACAGTGTAATCCTGTTTCATCTCATCTCCTTCAACATCCCCCTCTTTTCTTTAACAACAGCTATAAAAAAAATCCTTCTCCTTAGTTTCACTTTCCAGCTTCTCTTTCCCTTCCCACCACATCCCCAAATGTTCCCTCAGCAGCTAAAACAACTTTTCACTCCAGTAACAACTGCTTGCAGTTTTCCCACTACATGCCAGAACACATGCTTTTGTATGGCATGCTTTGATTAGTGAAGGTGAATGTGGGCTTAATTTGCAAATCTGATTGCTCAGAGACACAATACTTGCTGTTGAATGAGCTAAATATACATTTTGAATTACTGGATCATTTCCTGCTCCTTTGCAGGCAGGCTACATCTCACTGCTCCTCCTGCTGCGGTCTGTAGGCAGCATCTGGAGTAAGGAACTGCGTGCATGCACGTATATGTGCACAATATTAGGATGCAGGTGGTTCAGGTATTTTAGGTACACTGTTGTAGTAGGGCATGGTATGGGAAGTTCACAGGGGTGACACCATTACTTACTGCACTGGGTGACACCAACCATAGTGATACCACTGGCTTAACAAACTGTTCTGAAAGTTAGATATGGTTTGTTATGAGAGTGGACTTCTTTGGTTATGTTTCATGCCTAGGAACACAATAATATTTAGCACCTAGATTTGCCAGTTCAGAGACTTATCTCTCCTACTATTGCTTTTGAATTTGTGACATAATTTCTAAACAAAGCTTAGTCACCAGCACGATACCTGTTTTTCCAAACAAACTATTGCAACCATATATTTTAACAGATAGAAATGGGAAAAAAATTTTATTGGAATTTGTCCCCTAGACGTGCAAGATAGATACAGAACATTATCACATGGTCTTACTGCATGTGTATGCTAGCTTACATGAGAAACGTTACGGTTAAAGACAAACTGTGTAACAAAGTAGATGAATATAAAGCATATAATGTTGGAACATGTAAACAATAATGCTGGAATTAAAATTTGACTTCAGACATGAGAAGTATTGTTACAGAGACACTACTGAAACAAGCAAAGCAGTAAAAATGATAAAACACTGGTATCAGAAGACTTGACTCTTAATTCAAGATTTGCAGAAGAGCAGAAAACAGAGTACAGAAAACAAATCCTCAGCACAACACACACACACACACACACACGAAGATTTAAATTGTACAGTGACTGACTAATGGGAGGGGAAAACAAAATAAAGTTGAATCACTGGTGAATGAAATCAAGCATTAGAGAGAAGATATGACTAGTTGATTACTGTGGTCACTGTAATACAAAATGCCTGCTTGGTCATAGAAACCTGGTGACCTTGGGCAAATTATACTCCCTCTGCCTCAAAGGAAAGCAATGGCAACCCCCCTAGGAACACATCTTTCCAGGAAAACCCCATGATAGGGTTGCGTTGAGTCACCTAAATGACATGAAGGCACACAACAAGAGCAAAACCAAAGCACTTGGAATTGTAACTTTTTGTCAGATTTTGCCTTCCTTCTACTTTCAAAACTCAGGTGAGTCTTATTGCTTATATAGCTGAATCCGAACGACTCAGGCAAAATAGAAAGATAGAAACAAATTTGGGGAATCTCATGGTTTGCAGAGGTACATTTATCTGGAAAAAAAACTATTAAAGAGTTTGGAGTTGCAAGCCTTTGCAACTCCAAAGGAACTCCAAAGGAGCTCCCCCAAATCAACTAATAGGGATAGCGTGGCCAACTGATTATAGAAGTGAACAGGAACATTAATCCATCCTGTGGTATTTTCATGAAAGGTTCACTTGAAACTAGTAATCAAAGGACTATTCATTTTACTTTCCTATCACTTTTCTTGCACCTTTGTCCAAAAGTCTACTGACTCTTTGATAGGCACTTCATAAGAGAAAATCTTTTTTTGTATTTGTGTGCACATATGCAACACCTTCTCTTCATGCACACATTTATTTCAATTCCAATCCATATAAACTATGGATGACACTATATCCTCTATATTTGTGCAAAATAAAACACATTGCAGTAAATAAAATCTAAATTGTAGCTAGTATTAATACTAACTACCAATAGTAATAATTCATTTTCTAAAAAAAAAAAATCTGTTTTTCAATTTCAGGGAAAGTACTTAAATTCAACTGCAAATGCAAGCTGAATAGAGCAAAAATATTTACCTATGAAAGTATCAGCATTCATTTCTGCAGAGATATCTGGCAGCTGATTTACAACTAAGTATTAATTCACAGGCTTAATGTTATATGTTAGGTTACATAGGGATATTAAAGCTAAAAGATACTTATTCTAAGACATAACCAGTCTTTAAGACAGGAACAGAAAAAGTAGTATGGTAATATTTAGATCAATTAAATAGCACAAAGTAATAATCAAGTTGAAAATTAGTCCTAATGAACAGTAAACACAGTATCACAATGAATCAGAAATGACTTGAAGGTACATAACAAGAACAACAAATCATAGCTGATATTCCACTCATGAAGCAACAGTATCAGTGGAAGCAGGAAGGTAACCTTTCTCTACGCTGCAGTCTTCCTCCTCTATTTACCTTCCCCAACCCTCATGAATGGGAAGCCTCTTGGAACAACATTTTGATCTATATAGCAGCTGAAGAAGATTCTGCTGTGTCTGCCAACAGAAGGTTAAATTTACCCTAGCAGTATCAAGGCAAACTTGCTGATTCAATCCCTTCTAATATTTTAAATTCATCTTCCTTAGGAGCTCTGTTGTGGATGAAAGACATCTAAATATTTCAATTAACAATCATTTGTTGAAAAATGGACAAAGTTTTTAAGTCTTAGGTTCTTGTGGGTTTTTTTCGGGCTATAGAGCCATGTTCTAGAGGCATTTCTCCTGACGTTTTTAAGTCTTGTATGCCAAGAAAGATAAAAAAGCAAGCTGATAAGTAATGACATACAGTTGAGCACTGGCAAACCATATTACTGAAAAGTAGTACAGAAGAAAACTGATGAAAATATGTACTCCAAAAATGAGTAAGAACCTCATAAAAGAAATTTAAGGTTAACCAAAAAGGTTCTTGTCTACAGAAATGAATTACCTAAAAACACAAAGAATTTGTGTAAGTTCTGGAAAATTCAAAAAGATTTATTTTTAAAATTATTTTCCAAAACATTATATATGATCAGCTTTATTTCTACCTAATAAATATCTCCAAATCTGTAACAGGAGAAAATGCACTTGATCTGCCATTTATTTAGAAAATTTTTGAAAATCCAATTGTCACAGGGACAGATAGTGAGGTAAAATCTTCTGAACAGGGGCACAGACAACAAAACAAACACTACAGAAGTGTTAAACCTTCCCTGTGCTATCCAAAACTTTTTTTAAAAAAATTGGTTGGAGTTACACTTTAAAATGTACTTGTTCTGACTTACATACAAATTCAGCTTAAGAACAAATCTATAGAACCTATCTTGTTTGTAACTTGGGGACTGCCTGTATAGTATCAAGATCGAGGGAAGCCATAAAAGGTAAGTCTAGTCGTGTCCGACTCTGGGGGGGGGGGGGTGCTCATCTCCATTTCTAAGCCCAAGAGCCACTATTGTCCACCATTTCTAAGCCCAAGAGCCACCTCCAAGGTGCCCTCTGGCACCACAAAATGCAGAGCTAATCTTAAGAAATGGGGCTACAAAGTAGAATCCACAACATGCGAGTGCGGAGAAGAGCAAAACCACCTAGTAAAATTCAATCTGAGCCCTGTCACATGCACAATGGAGGATCTTTTCACAGTGACACCAGAAGCACTCCAAGTGGTCAGCTTCTGGTGAAAGGACATCTAGCATAATGCCAAGTTCTTTTTCAACTTTATGTTTTTATATGCATTTTAACTGTATCCTCATTCCTGCTTCTGACACGATAAATAAATAAACCCCCAAGATCATGTGGCCGGCATGACTGCAAGGAGCACCGTACCTTCCCATCAGAGTGGTACCCATTGAGCTACTCACATTTGCATTTTTTTCGAACTGCTAGGTTGGCAGAAGCTGGGGCTAACAATGGGAGCTCACCTCGCTCCCCGGATTTGAACCACCAACCTTTTGGTCAGCAAGTTCAGCAGCTCAGCGGTTTAACTCACTGTGCCACTGGGGTCCCCTACAGAACCCATCTTGTTTGTAACCAGGGAACTGCCTGTATAGTATTAAGATCGAGGGAAGCCATAGTCCCACTCTATTCTGCTTTGGTCAGATCTCATCTAGTTCTGGGCAGGGGACAAATTTGTTTTCTGCTGCTCTTGAGACTAAAATATGGAGCAATGGATCCAAATTGCAGGAAAGAAGATTCCACCTAAACAGACATTAAGAGCTGTTCAGCAGAATATCTTCCTAGGAGCATGGAGGAATCTCTTTGCTTGGAGGGTTGGACTGGATAGTCCCTTGTGGTCTCTTCCAACTCTATGATTGTATGATTCAGAAAAATTCAAAGAACATAACCGACATTTGGTATGTGTTCCATAAGAACACACTTAAGGCATGATCTGTAAAGGCTGGTCAGTAACATGTTCATGCAAGTTTGAATATGCATATTTTCTGAACATTTTGTAACAGCTACAATAGTGGGCTGCAATTATGATGGACTCTGGAAAAACAGCGTGGTTACAGTTCTCTTTGAGGCAAACTGCAAAATAATTGCTCAAACCGCTTATGCAGTTATATGGATTTTTTTCCTCCTTTCAAACTATTAAGCATTGTTGTTAATGGAAAATACATTCATAAGTATTTTTCATGTGCCTAAGACATATAAAATGTTTTCTAATGGAAACATGTTTCGCGATAGCCTATAGTAGATTAGCTTTCAATGAAAAGAAAAACAGCAACAATAAACTGGACCACATAGGTCTGGATAATTTTATCTCTGAAAAGAAAACTATCTTCTGAAGTAGAACAATTTGGTAACGGCTGTGTAGCACAAATATAGTATTTGCAATTACATGTCGAGTCTGTGCTATGAGACATTCCTGGGGTTTTTAAAATAAAAGACTAAGAAAAATCAAGGTAAAGAAAATATTTGTACTACATTTCTTAGTACAGTTGAATAATAAAATGTGCAGCCTACCATTACTGGCAAACCTCTAGACAGAATATGTTACTAATATGCCTAGCCCATGGTTTCCACTACAGGTGTGAGGGCAGATCACATATAAAGCATATGTGCATTTGTGTAGTCTAGCACTAATAACGTACAGATTAAAAGTGCTTTTTGATAACACAATATCATTGACATGTCACCCAAACACAATTACATGCTTTTTTTCTTAGGCTTGCTGAAGTTGGTGAAGCTGACATGAGCAGGAAACACATACATAACCTTTAACATTTTGGAGCCTGTCAGACAGACCAGGTTAAAGAAATAATGTGTTGCTGTTGCTATTATGAAAAATGAAGTATGAGCTACTACAGCAGTGAAATGTGAAGTGCAATTAATACATGCCACAAATGTGCTGAAATCTTCTTTTTCAAAACCACAAAATTCTAAATTATTTCCTTTAATTTAAATACAGCATTTATTATTGTAATGTAAGGCATACCTTTCTACACTGTAAATAAAAGTGACTCTAGACATGTTGCTTCTCTAGTCAATAAAGTGACTGATAAAGGCCCCTTGGGAGGAACTGTATGAACAAGATCACCAGAAGAAAAAAATCCTTACAAGACGTCATCTATATTCAACTTACTAGGAATAGGTCTAAGGACGTCAGGAATGAGAATCTCCACCAAAGCCTGGTACATCACATGGTCACAGTTACACATCCATTTCAGAATTGACTCATTTTTGCACAGAGTAATCAGCTTTGCTTTCGGAAGTCGACTTTCTATTTCACTCAGATTGCTGGTGTGAACAAATGTATTAAATGAATAAATGAAAATGCATTTACATGAAGATAAAAAGAACAATGGATTTCAAAGCTTTCTTAAATAAATCATTAGAGATGCCTGAAACGTATCCAGCTGACGTGAGGCACTTTATGTTGCAATGGCTGATACATGGCCTCCAGTGTTTTAGCAAAAGAGCACTGTTTTATGCAGCAGTGATAAGAATGATCTTTGGATTGAATAATTATTTCATGAGAAAATAACTGGGCCCTACTCATAAAACAAAATGGTATGCATAGAAATATATCCTGATGTTATCCTAACAAAATGACAATTTACTTTACTAAACAAAACATTCTTAATATGTAAAATTTAGATTTTTTTTACTTCATTTGAAAATTACATTAAACTATAGGCACAAGTTCTTTTGTGAGGAGATTACTAACCTTGGCTCAGTAATGGTTGTGCCATCAGTTGTTGCTGAAGGAGAATAACGCCAGAAAGTCTGCCACAATTTTTCTATTAAGCTAAACTGAAGGTTCACTACAACATCTAATATTGCCTAAAATATAAAGCAGATAGAAATGTATTATTAAATAACATAGTAACTTTTGAAAGCTATGATTGTAATCTAAATTTACAGTGGAGTAAATATGCTTAGAATTGTATTAAAAATAATAAACTTAACACAATGTATATTGTATTATATACACACGTATATATGAATTGGCATACTTTTATACCCAATTGTATTTTTACACATTAACAAGCAAACAAGGACTAATACAATACTGATAAACCCATCATTGTGAACAAAGAGGCAACCTTTCAATAGCAAATGATAAAATGTGTACCAGCTATTATAAATAGGGCAAATACAAATAAAATATGGGGGGGGGGGTCTATATCCAATATTCCATTTGAGAAAATGTGGGAACCTCCCTGCTCGTCTTCCGATTTTTCTCCTATATACCTTCTGAAAAACATTACCACCGGATTTCTCACTCCTCTAAAATAGTTTTTGAGGGTACATTAGGGGTAGAGATTAGCCACTCTCACCTCCCCAGGAACCCACTGTTCTACTAGTGGAAGTCCATCCCTGGATTCTGCCCAGAAACTGCAAAAGGGCAAAGCTACAAGAACTAACATAAGTGAAACTAAAAGAGGTCTACACCTGTGAATTAGAAATGGAGGTGTCCCTCATTTTTTGTTTCGACTCTGAGAATGTGAACCATTCTAATAGATCACATCCTCATATTACCATATTTACTCAAATCTAATGGTCAATGTTTTCAGCTAAATTATATAGTCAAAAGTGAAGTGCGCATTAGATTTCATGGTGAATTAGAATTACGCATATAAACCTGCCTACACTCTGCTGTCAGGCTCAGGATAGCAAACTTCTCAGCCTCACCTTGATGGAGGGGCACGGCATCCTAATTGGCCTCATTCACGAGGCCTTCAAAACCCCACCCTTGGTTCTGAAGGTCTCCTGAATGAGGCCTTAGTTGGGAAGCTGCCACTTGTCCATCAGGACGAAGCTCACAAGTTCACCAGCCTTAGCCTGATAGAGGGGCACAGCTGCCCCTTGCTTGTTGGCCGTTCTGAGGCACACAGCAGAACAGCTGACAAACGAGGGGAAGCTGTGCATTACATTCGACAACAAACCTTCATTTTGCAATGCTCACCTTCAGAATTGAGGTGTGCATTGCAATCAATGGCACATTATATTCAAGTAAATAAGGTAAATTGAAGGTGCCAAGTTATAAAGAACCCAGAGTCTTTCGGAAAGCAGGCAAGTACAGTCATCATTATGTATCACTCAACTTCTGAAAACAGAGGCACTGGATTCTTTCTTCCTAGTAGTATGCAGTAAAGCTCAAGAAATCACCACAAGTATAGTGACCGGCACTGTCCTTTTGACCTTGCTCCTCCTCCAGAGCAAATTTCCCCAAATTGAACTGCTGACCTTAACTGTGGTTAATGTTTACATCAGCATTGACTACAGGATTTGAAATTATTTGTGAACTTCAGTTAACTGGAAAACATACCAAATGATGTTGCAGATAGTCAAGATCAGCAATGATTGTGTAGCAGAGTGAAGAAGGGAGCAAACAAAAAGTCTGAAGTTTTTTCACATAATTACTTTACACATAGGGATAAGAAATGTGGCACGTGGCATTATACAGAAGAAACAGGATTAACGACAGTTTATGCCCTACATGATCTCCTTCTAGTTCCCAGTAAAGTATTTCTCATCTTAATCAGTCTTTGGGAAATAACTGTTCATGAGGAAAAGTCTTTGAATAATGCATTTCTGTTATTTCTACTTGTTGTTTGTTTTCTAAATCAAACTGTTTTGAATTATATTTATAATTTAATTGTCTTCAGCTGCTTTAGTGATGTGAAACTTTATCTGCATCAGTTTTAACTTTTGTATGCTGTCTCAAGTCCCAGTGCTGGGAAAAGGTGAGATATTAATCATAAATGTACATTCTAAAAAAATAATTGTTTAATAATGTATTGTTTTTATCTCATTCCACACACCTTATTAGTGTTTCATTGCTTTAAAAATATTTTTCAAAATCTATCCAAATAATAAAGTGGTCAAAAATGCTCACAAATTTCTCCAAAGCATTTTGACCCTAAAATTGAATGAGAAAAAGTAAAATTATTAGTTATTAAGCTATTGTGCAACTTAATTCTCAGAGTTACCTATCACAGCTAACACTGTTACCTGTATTACAATACTTTTAGACAATCTCTCAACTTTACCTCACAGTGCTCTCGATAGAGACTCTGCAATGACTTAATATCCTCAAAAGTAGTACCATCTGGCAAAGAAGAGATTTCAACTTCTCCAAACTCTGGAAGTGCTCGAGATGCATCTGTTTCCATGGCAACACAATGGAAGAAAGATATTGTAGACTGTGTCAATCACAATTTAATTAGGAAAATGCTGAATGATATAAAGAAGTAAATACCCAAAAGGTCAAAGTGTTGAACGCAAAACCAAGAAGGCATTCATTTTTATTATAAGTTTAATAGTGTGCAATTAAAAAGGAATCAACATTTTATACTTCTAAATTAAAAAAAATTATGCAAAAGTAGTCAGATAATATGTACTCTATTTATAGGAAATATAGCTATGGAAGGGGTTTTGCATGGCATCGATTCAAACCCTCTGCTAATAGCTGGAAACCCAGATTTACAACATTCTTAACAGATATTTTTAAAAGATCCAGAAAGAAAAAGAGAACACCACCTCTTTGGTGAACTTTTTGGGACTCCTCCTAATATTTCTTCTAATGTTCAGAAATATTCTAATTCAGATGCTTGTTGGGTTTTATATTCACTGGTACAGGTGAATGGATAAGAGTACATTATACCTCCCCTTGCCAACCTTGTTTGGGCAAACACAGTTATCTGTTTTTCTACATCTCCCTACAATCTCTGCGTTTCCTTATTGGATTATACTTTCAACTGTCCAAGCTGAAGAAACTGGTTTACTCAAAATGATTTCAGGATTGTGTCAGTCACTGTTTCCAGATTAAAAACAAACAAACATGCTGTGGAATAAATTGAAGATGCAAAACAGCAAGCTACTCAACAATAAAGTGTAAGAATGTCTCCAACTAAGGATGTTTATGCATGAGAAGAATTCCATTAGAGATGAGATCAAGTAACACTAGAATTGAGTAAATCTCAATCATGTCTTGAATAAGACTGGGTTAGAAAGTCATGGTAATGATAATAGTATTTTAAACCAAAATCTTCAAGTGGCACAATCAGAATAAAAAGATAAATTGAACTATCAAAACATTATGAAAGCAAAGGGCAAAATGAATTTGATATCAAAGTTAGATGATCAATGGGCAATACATCTGATCTTAACAAAAATACATTACAGTACTTAAATCTTTTGTTAGCAAACTGGAATGCTTTTAAATACCTTTTTACCGTCATCCCTCCACATTTCCAGGTTTGTTTTTTTGCAGTTCTGATTATGAATGAATTTGATTAAAACATTCTCTCTATATCCCTAACCTCAGCAAATGTCCAGGGCTGACTAGTTTCTGCTAGGCCTGCTGCTGATGGTAGATAGATTTAGAAGCAGATAAACTTTATTTATTTTTTGCTTAATTAAGACTGGAAACTTGGTTTAAGTATAATACCCATATTAGAAATATTGTATCAAAATGCCATATAAATAATACAATTCACAATATGTTATTCTGGAGCAATTTTGTCGGACTATTATTTCATTTTCTAGTCAAAGACTGTATTAACTCTTGGACATAATAATAACAACAACAACAACAACAACAACAACAACTTTTTATTAGCCGCATCAACAACAACAACAACAACAACAACTTTTTATTAGCCGCATCTCCTGATGACAACAAAGTCATACTTCTGACATACCCAAAAACTGTTGATGATGCTGACTTTGGGCAATTACAGTTTGTTCAACAGATGTGCCGGTCTGCTGACCACTTGTGAAACCATCTGCAACTCCATCCACTTTCTGCATAGGCTTGTACCTAAAACATGGGAGATATAACATAGGCCATAATTATCCCTTTTTCTTCCCATTTCTCACAATCAAACCTTTCAAGTTTGCTCTCTCTTCTGTTTATTCCTTAATCTCTAACAGTAAACATAACCTAGAGAGATGTCGTCTTCAGCAACTTTTTGTAGCAAAGTCTGCAAGGTTTGCAGTAATGAAACATTATCTATATCTTCAAGCAGCCATGAAGGTTTCAACTGGTGTTGCGTTCTTTCAGTACTATACTTTATCACAATAATCATTAAGCCAGTCCTAGGACCCTCCAGGTCTATGACAGTTCCTCCAGATGAAACACAAAGTGACCAGATTGTCACTTTTATGGTGTAGGGTTTGTTCTGACTTTACTAAAAGAAAATAAACTCCCCTCTAATCTTATGTGGGAAAAACCTCACAACCCCTAAAGATGTGATTCTTCCATTTGAGGAGGGACTGATACTTAATTGGGGTTTTTATTAATCTGACACAGCTAACGGAGGCCTAGTTTAATCCGGACGGCCTGCCTGCCACAAATTGCATTATACATTTTTAAATGTTTTAATTGATTATGATTATCAAACTCATTAGAGAAATGTGTTCTATTTGTATATTTTAAAAATAATTTGTTATTTTTGAGTTGTTTTATAAGTATGCCTTGATGTTGTTTATGTGACTGTTTATGATTTGATGTTTTGGTTTTGGTTTTTTGCATTGAATGTTTGCCAATTTTGGTTGTAAACCACCCTGAGTTCCTTTTTGGGAGATAGGGCAGGATAGGAATAAAGATGATGATGATCCCCCCCCCTCCTTTGGTAAGCTCAGGAGCTTAAAAATGTGATTAGGGCACATGATTTCTATATTTGCTATATGATAAGCAAGTAATGATGAATTCGCTCAAGTTTCAGCACTTCCTGGAATACATGTCAGCTTCAACAAAACACCATCAAAAGCATAATACAGTAATGGTAGGTTACTCACCTGTAACCATGTTTCTTCGAGTGGGCCTCTGTGAATCCACACTTATGGAGAATCTGTGCCTGCGCAGGTCCCAACAGAAAACTTCCCAAGTTGAAACTTTTAAGTTTTGGCGGTAATTCCACCCAGCCTCCCGCAGGGCATAAAAGGCGCCCCGCGCACACACTCCACCATTCCTAACGCCGCATAGCGAGGAATAGGGAGAGGCTTGCAAAGAGGGGACGGCCGGGCGGGTTAGTGTGGATTCACAGAGGCCCACTCGAAGAAACATGGTTACAGGTGAGTAACCTACCATTTTTCTTCGTGGCCTCTGTGAATGCACACTTATGGAGAACTAGCAAGCTTAGGTCCCGGATGGTGGGAAGCAAACCGATACCAATTGAAGGACCAAAACATATTTTACTAACATCTTGCAAAAATAGTGCAATTCACATGTCCATGAGAAGTGTAACACAAGCATATACATATACGTCAGCATGGTATATAAGCACATATGCAACTGCAGGCAACACATCTTGTGTAAAGTATGATAACAAGTCAATAAACTGATATCTACATGCCAAACACCGTTCTGAGTTCAGGACGGAAAGACATAGATGCGTCTTGTGACAACAAGGGCAATGAGCAGAAAAACGATGCGAATATCCAGTACATGAAAGCATCATAATGTACATTGCAGGCAATAAAACACATAAAAAAACATTACATTGACAGAAAAATGGTACAAGTTATTTCTCTCTTTCTTGCATGGAGAGCAGGAGACCAACAATAACCTTGTTTGCACCATAACTGGTAGTGCAATGTAAAAGACAGAAAACAACCCCAGGGAACCCGAATGACCGTACTCAAAGGGGGCAAGTTGACAAAATTGCTCGACCGAAGGCGGTCTCTCTTCGGGACCATGTATCCAGTCGATAATGGGAGATGAAAGTCATAGGGTTAGACCAAATGGCCGCCTTGCAGATAGAGTCTAACGGGATTCTCCATAGAAAAGCCGTTGTGGCGGCCATGGCTCTGGTCGACCTCGACCGGGCCGACGAAGGCGGAGGCCTACGAGCCAGCTCATAACAAAGTTCAATTGTCGAAGCAATCCATCGTGAGAGCTGCTGTGAAGAGAGCGGGAGCCCTAGTTTGTCCGTTGCATAGGCAACAAAAAGTTTGGGGGTCTTTCGCAAGGTAGCAGTCCTCTGTCTGTAAAACAATAACGCTCTCCGAACGTCCAGAGAGTGTAGCTTGTTCTCTGCTGGGGATGATGGGTTTTGAAAAAAAGCCGGTAGAAATATGTCCTCGTTGATATGGTTTGGTATGATTTGGCAGGAAAGTAATGTCAGTCCTTAGGACCACCCGGTCGGTATGGAAGATCAGGTAAGGTTCGTCTACCCGTAAGGCTGCCAACTCCGAAGGCCTATGGGCAGACGTGATAGCAACCAAGAAGGAAACCTTCCATGAAAGTAGCCGAAGATCTGTCGTGGCCAAAGGTTCAAAGGAAGGGCCAGTCAACTGGGAAAGGACGATGTCGAGGCTCCATCCCGGTGTCGGTGGGTGCACCGGTGGGTTGAGGTGATTGTAGCCTCTCAGAAAGGTTTTGATAAGATGGTTTCCGAAGAGCGAAGGGGAACCCAGTCTTTGGCAGCACCAGGAGATTGCAGCGACGTAGGATTTCAAAGAATACAAGGTAAGTTTCTGGGTCGCTAAGGAAAGGAGGAAGTCCAAAATCGTCGGTATCGATGGTGGGAATTCAGGTATCGTTCGCTCTCGAAGGAACTCTAGGAGGCGCCCAATGCGGTATGCATAGGCTTGTGGGCTGCTTGTAAGATTGACCGGAGCTCGGGACCGAAGGAACCTAGAATGTTATCCTCCATGCTACCAGATGCAGAGATGAGACGTCTGGGTGCAGGAGGCCGGCCTCCCTCGACAGGAGATCCGGGCGAGGTGGCAGTCTGATCATCTGAGAGTTGGAGAGTCTCAGGAGTGCGGGAAACCACACCTGCCTTGGCCATTCCGGCGCAATGAGGATGCAATTGGCCCGGGACATCTTGATTCTCTCGATTACTCGAAGTAAGAGAGGAATCGGTGGAAAGATGTAAAGGAACTGAGTCGACCAGTCCAGCATGAATGCGTCTCCCAGACACCCCGGAATAGTGCCCTGTGGCAGGCGGGCTCCGAAGAGGGGGAGCTGATGGTTGTCTGGAGAAGCAAAAAGATCGACCGTGGGGACGCCCCACACATCGAACAGGGTACGAAGTTCCGTCGTGTCGAGGTTCCATTCGTGGGACATTGACGTTGAGTGACTCAGGGAGTCGGCCTGGTTGTTTAGATGACCTGGGAGGTGAAGTGCTGATGGAAAGATCACATGTTGGTTGCATCATTCCCACAGCGCCACGGCTAGTTTCAGAAGCTTTCTCGAACCAGTGCCGCCCTGCTTGTTGATATAATACATGGCCACCATGTTGTCTGTCTGGATCTGGACCATGTGTCCGGACAGGAGAGGCAGGAAAGCTTTGAGGGCCTTGAAAATGGCTAACAGCTCCAGATAGTTTATGTGGTGAGACTGTTCTCTTGGTGACCAGACGTCTTGTATGGAGAAGTGACCCGTGTGGGCACGCCAGGCAAACGTCGATGAGTCAGTCGTGAGAACGGCTGACGGCTGTCTCGCATGGAAAGGGAGGCCTATGCAGACGTTTTGACGACTCTTCCACCAGTTCAGGGAGCGTCGAACTGTGGTTGGTATTGACAGAAGTTTTGTCTCTGAGTCTTGACAAGGATCGAAGTTGTCGAGGAACCAACATTGTATGGGGCGCATCTTGAGCCTGGCAAACAGTGTGACCATTACCGTCGAGGCAATGTGTCCCAAAAGAATTTGGACCTGATGAGCCTTTATCTTGGAGGGTAAGAGGCAACGAGCGATCTCGCGCTGGAGAGCCTGGAATCTGATTGGTGGGAGGGACACCCTTTCTTTTGACGAGTCGAAGTCGACACCGATAAATTTTATCGATGTCGTCGGTGTAAGGTGGGATTTTTCAGCATTCAACTGTAGGCCGAGTTCCCGCAGGAGGTTGAGGGTGAAGGCGATCTAGTCCCGGAGGAGGTCTGGTGACTTTGAGGCCAGTAACCAGTCGTCCAGGTAAGGAAAAATGCGGATTTTCCTTCTTCGGATATGCGGCGACCACGGACATGCATTTCGTAAATGTTCTGGGTGCCGTTCCGAGGCTGAACGGGAGGACGGTAAACGAGAAGGTTGTGTCCTCTATCTTGAAGGAGAGAAACCTTCTGTGGCCTTCCCGGATGGATGACTGGAAGTACGCGTCTTTTAAGTCTATTGAAGCGAAAAAGTCGCCTCGATGAAGCATGGGGGTAATTGACGATACCGTCACCATTCTGAACTTGGCCGGTTTTATGAACTTGTTCAGTGCCCTGGGATTGAGGATCGGACGGAGAGAGCCATCCGGCTTCAGTACTGTAAAGTACCTGGAGAAGAAGGCATGACCGTCGAAGCGAGATGGAGACCTCTGGATCGCCCATTTTTAAAATAAGGAGTCGACTTCTGCCAGGATCAGGGGAGACGGATCGGTTTGAACAACAACTCCGGTTGGAGGTAAGTCTTTGAACAATCTTTAGCACCCATGCATTGGATGTGATGCGGTGCCAAGCATGAGCGAACTTCTTTAGACGATCTCCAAACTTGGCAGGAGTGTCGATCATCTTGTTGTGAAGGTGCAGCGACGAGGGTGAGGTGGGCACGGCAGAAATAACGGACACGGATTCGGTATCGTCGGGGAAAACGTCAAACCCGATGTCTGGAGTTGCCATTGGTCTGGGTCTGATGAGACCGGGCCCTCTGTGGCTGTTGCGATCGGCGCTGCTGTTTCTGCTGTGGCTGAGCCTGAGCTGCAGGAAGTGGGCAAAAACTTTGTCTTCTCAACTGGTGTCGAAAAGATCCGAAGCGGCGTTGGCGGTATCCATACCATCGAGTACGCTGGGTTTGTGGATGAGTCTCGACGCCACACTTCGAAGCAAGTAACT